CTTGAAAAGACATTTTCAAAGATGAAATACATAAAACCTAACAGATGAACATTTGCAATCAATTTTGAACTCCAATTAAGTGAAACAGTCCCCTAAAAAGCATTCTATCCTTCTCATTAGCAGACTTGATTAGAAAAAAGTTATACTCAATTATTTTGAATTTTGTCAATTAAAAAATGTATGAACAGTCCTCGCTTGTAAGTACTTACATAATATCCTTGATGCTGCCTCTTGGTCTGCAAGGCCTAAAATCATGACTCTCTAGTCCTTTACAGAAAAAGCTGACCGACCCCTGAGCATAAGGAAGGGAGAAGTGTTCATGTGTGGAGGGAAAGATATGGGATAGCAATCCAGCTGCCAGGTGTGTTCCTCTTGGCACACTCAGTTGCAGACGTGCAGGTGGGGCAGGCAGGGCACGTGTACAGAGTGCGGCTGGGACCAGCTCTAACTTCCTTTCCGTGAATCCATCTGTTTTCTATCTTCCAAAATTTTGCTGCAGGCTCACCTGTTATTTTTGTCTCAGCATATGCTTACTGAACATTGGCTCTACCAGTTGAGAAGAGGTTCGTGGATAACTGGGGTAGTCTGGAAGGACTATCTACTTCAGTTTGTCACAGAAATGAATGGCCAAGTGGTTCAGGGGTACACATGGCTTTTAGACAAAAAGACCTAATGTGGGTCACAGCTCTGCCACTTCCTAGTTGTGTGACCTTAGGCATTCACTCATCTTTAAACTGGGGATAATAATACCAGCAATACATCATGGGTTGGCACACAGAAAAGCACTCCAAAAACTATTGCTTTTATTCCCACAGTAACTCTAGGAAAAAAAAAAAATCATGCCTCAAACTTATGGCAAACAAGTAGAGAAATGCATGTCTCAAATACTACACTAGCTTTGATAGCCACTTACCTATTACGACAAAATGAAAAGCACATGTCCCCACAGTTCACAACTTTCTGGAGTTCAGTGTAGGTAAACATAAGAAAGTGACATCTGAAAACAAAATGGAAGGTGTAGACTCACACGAAATCCTTCTGTACATAGTGTGGGATTGCTCTTAGTTAAGTCTCCTAGAGGAAGGCCTTACACAATTCGAAAACCATAAAAGTGTTTCACATTTGCCGACCAATGCACACGAATATAAAATAAGGTTAATGAAGAAAATACCTTTATGTTTTATTCCATACAATTGTTTCATATTTTAAAATGTAGGTGGACCACTTTTTAGATGTAGGTCTTTGGGTTTTTAGCTAAGGTGTTTAAAATGCAACTCTCTGGGACCCATTCAGACTTACTAAACCAATCTCCAGTGGGCAGACCAGAAACCTCCAGTTTAATGAAACTCACAAGTGATTTTTTAAGTGTTACTATTTTGAGCCGTACTACAAACCATGAAGTCGTACATCTTCATCCCCTTGGCTCTCACAAATGGAAGGTTAGAGGAACTCAAGTGGTACTAGTATGCTGGGCAAGTCAGAAAAGACACACAACCACACACAGACAAACACAAGGGAAGTGCTCAAACACACCAAAATATAGGTATTTCTTAATTGATGACAGGTCATATTTCCAATGTTCCTTTATTTTGAAAACTTTTTTTTGAGACTGATTCTTGCTGTGTCGCTCAGACCTTGAGTGCAGTAGCGCGATCTAAGCTTACTGTAACCTCTGCCTCCTGGGTTCAAGCAGTTCTCCTGCCTCCTCCTCCCGAGTAGCTGGGACTACAGACGCATGCCACCACACCCAGCTAAGTTTTTGTATTTTTAGTAGAGGTGGGTTTCATCATGGTGGCCAGGCTGGCCTTAAACTCCTGATCTTGTGATCCACCCACCTCGGCCTCCCAAAGTGCTGGGATTATAGGCGTGAGCCACTGCACTCAGCTTGAACTTTAAAAAGTACTTGTAATCATTGCTTCATTTAACAAACATTAACACCTAGTATGCACTAGGAACTTTTCTAGGTGCTTGGGATCCAACATGGAAAAATTCCCCATGTTACAGAACTTGCAGTGAGCCGGGATCGCACCACCGCGCTCCAGCCTGGCAACAGGGCAAGACTGTCTCAAAAAAAAAAAAAAAAAAAAAAAAAAAAATGCTGGTACCTTTCCCTTTCCAGATTCGGAACAGGCTGGTTTAATGATGAAGTCTGGAACCACAGTCAGGACACAGAGCTGTCTCACAAAAAGTAGGTTCTTGATAAATTACTTAACCTGGGTATGTTACTTCAAAGTACAAGTGTGATCATGCTCAATAAGGCCTACGTGCCCTTCTCATTCTGACATTCCATCACATTCCCATTTCTCCCAAACTACGCTGTCCATGAAAGGAAGGGCTGGGTCTTAACTCTGTTCCCAGCACTTGGAATAATTGCCTGGAAAAATAATCTGAGTATTTGTTGAACGCCCATCTCATTCTGACATTCCATCCCATTCCCATTTCTCCCAAACTATGCTAAGTCCTTGAGAGGAAGGGCTGTGTCTTAATCCTGTGTTCCCAGCACCTGGAATAATTAGGTGTCTGGAAGAATAATCCGTGTATCTGTTGAATGAATAAATGACTGACTGGCTCCATGACATGACTGCAGCTCTTCATAAAGATTTTTTTACGTCGAATACTTGTAATGTTACAAATATTGAGGCAAGATGAAATGAAAGCAGTTACTTTTAGGGTTTTTCAAAATTCAGTAATGGTTCTAGAATTGCCCTTTATATTTATGCCTCTTCTAAGAGTTTCATGCATTTTTCTTAAAATTTAATACACAAATTCGACACAAGAATGCCTTCAGTTACCTCTGCCAAAGCTAAGCAATTTAAAAAGTGTGTGTGTGGGGGGAATGATTACGTATTTCATTAAAAGGAAAAATCTAGATCTGACACCAGTTTCCTTATAAAGGTCAGCAATCCCTAATTACCAATTCTGAGATCTAAAAAATCTCTGAAAACCTGTTTTTCTATAAGTTTGTGAGAAAAAAATTGATCTAATTGATGTAAGGCAAATAGCTTACTGCCTTACATAGTTAATCCCAGTTACTATGAAGTCTGATTGTAACTGCAGAAATACTAATGTTTGATTATGGGGTGCTGCCCCAGGCCCCATTGAGGGTGTTATACAATCTACATTATATATATCATCTTTGAAAAGGAGAAAATTCTGAATTCTAAAATCCCAATGGTTTCAAATAAAGAATTATAGTATACTTACAAAGAAAAGCAAAAGCAACGGATGCCTCAGGCTGTATACTATTGCCATCTGCTGATGCTGATATAGAACTACAACTACGTAATCCAAATGGGAAGATTTCATCTTGCTTATATGTTTAACAGCAGCACACTCATAATTTGGAAAATAGTTGAGATTTTATTTTCAAAAGTAATTATTAAAAAAAAAACAAACCCTTATGTGCAAGAGTTGATGTGAGGGAAAAAAAAACCCTTAGTGAAGTTTAAAAAAGAAACCTCTACAATATTTGCAAGATTTTGTGTGCTGCATCCATCGTACATAACCTAGAAGTTGAATTATCCATCTTGATTTAATGTAGTTGAACACCTTTTAGATTTATCTTTAATGCATGGTGAGGGTACGCTAGCTAACCCTTTGGGGGTGCTATTTTTAATTCCTCTTGTATTAAGCTGGGCTGAAAGCCACAGGTAAGGACTGATGCCATCAATTCTGTACCAACAAAATACTCAAATTGCTCTGCTGACCATTTCCAACAGAGCTAAAAGCAACGTAAGGTTACAGAATCTCATGTTTTATATACCATATAATCATAGGTGGTAGTGATACTCCCTATGAAATCTATTCTAGACCATAATATAGCCTTTTGGGGTACAAGCATCTCTATCCTACCATAAATACATTCTAAGTTCCCTAGGAGTTAAATGTACTATATGTCTTGTTTACCCCCAAAGATGTAAACTTTTGAACCCTAACATCTTTTACTTTCTCTTCCGCCCTAACTACCATGGTTAGCAACAGCTTGTTGGCACAGAGGAACCATATAACAAATACTAAGTTTTGTGATAAGGAATTTTAGTGTGCTGCATTTACTTCTGAGGAGTTACCTGAATTGGACTTTTAATATTAGGCCTAATTACGTTCTAAGACTATTTTAGAAAAGATCTTTCGCCTCTCCAAGAAAAAATGTGTCTTTAAATAAATCACAAGGATTCAATGTGAACCATCGGGAAGGAATAAAAGACCTAAGGTCCCCAAAAGAACTACAATTGTTCTCTTTATTGCACAAGAGAAAATATGCTGTCAGGACTTACAACTCTTTTTTTTTTTTTTTTTT